CCAGACTCGACATTGGACTTCAGACATTTTGACGAGGGATTATTGGGGACTTGTAACGAGACTTGGTGTTGACGACTTTCCCATCTCTCCCCTCCTCTTCTCCATCTGATCCTCTCCTCTTCGTCTGTGCATGAGATAGACCTGGCGCCTCTTCCTGTGTATAGCGCCAGGCTCCCTTCACACCGTGTGGTGAGAATGATGTATGTTTGGTCTGTGTTGTAACATTGATTGGGTTAGTCATTAGTATTCTAGTATTCTGCTGCGCTATCTTGTACTACGTGAAAGAGGTCAGTCCCGGTCAGGTGAGGACTTGTATCTAAGTCTTCCGCTGCGCTGTAAAGCACCATTTTGTATGTATCAGAATGTACACTGCTTGTTGAGATTTCACGTGCACTGCATTGTCCATTCAGTCCTTTTCATCACATTGCGGATCCTTGGTTTATATGTACCTCGCCCAACTGGGCATGTAACAAGATGGTGGGTGTTTGACTTAGAGGCTAAGCTAAGCAACACTGGTGCACAGGGGCCCATTAGCAGGGCAGAAGAAGGAACAGCCCCAGGACGGGATGAAGAAAGGGCACCTTCTCTTTGCTGATGCAGAAGCGAATGCAGAGGAGGTACAGGATTAACCCCGGTCCTGGACGGACGGTCCGAGTGGGGCCAGCCAAGAGGGAGTCGTAGTGCCCGCAGCACAAGCTAAGGGAGGCCGGTCCCGGTGTCAAAGTGATAGGCCACGTGAACACGGTTGGATCAGAGAGGGCCTAGAGGAAAGCGACTGGAAGGATAGATATTATGGGGCTGCTTGCATGAGGTGTGGCAAATTGGGTTGCAGCAAGAGTAGGTGCTCCGACCTGAACGAAGCGAAGTACCAGCAGAAACCGCAACAGCAGCACGGAGGGAAACCAAGCGAGCCAGTGGAAGTTGTAACTGCTTGTACAAGGTCTGAGCAGGTAGGATGCCCCTCAACCTCTCAGAGGAGGGTAATTCACGTTACTGACCCCACTGTCACCCCGCAGTCACAGACGGACCAGGTGAGATGCTCTGTTCAAGGGATGTGAGTGAGTCCTTAGAGGAGCTAGAAGAGCA